AGTGGAGCCCAGGGAGCTGACCCCAGCCCAGAAGGCCCCGCCCCAGGGTCCCCAGCCACTCCCATTCACTCACAAAGATGACCATGATGACAAAGGCGGCTAGATAAGATGTGCGTGCCATCCACATGCTGACAAAGCGGTAGTGCTCCCCAGACACCACATTCCTCAGAAAGCCTGGGGGAGGCAGCTGTGAGCAAAGGGGACCACCATCCTTCCCCACCCCACTTATCCCCTCCACTCCGGGAGCCCCACCCTTGTTCTCCTCATTCTCTGCCAGGCCCTTCACACTGGACATGAGGATGTCATCATAGCCCAGAAACTCGTCCAGCAACAGGCGGCTAAAGCGGTCCCCGAAGCACTGGTCCCGTGTGGGATCTGCAATTGGGTCAATATTGGTCACAGAGGCCAGGGAGCCCTCTGTTTTCCTTGGCCTAGCCCCAGCCTACCAGGGTGACCAGGCTGCCTCACCTAGGGTGACCACCATGACTGGGATGCTCAGGCGCTGGCGCGTGGCCTGTGACAGCCGCAGAAAGCCATATTCCAGTGAGTATTCCACGATATACTCATCCTGCGGCCATACTACAGAGACAGGGACAGAGTGGTCAGCTGGCTCCACTCTCGATATGGCCTTGCCACCCTCCCTGTCTGGCCCCCGCACACCTTTTGTTGGCGTCTCAGGGAATGGGAAGTCCTGGCTGTCGTTCAGGGCATCTGTGCCACCTGGTGGCTTGAACACCTTGGGTTCAATGTCCAACTCAAACTGCAGGCACAAGGGACCAAGATGTGAGTGGGGCCTGCAAGAAGTCCCTGCTGGTCCAGTGGGTGGGTGCCCAGCCCCCGCTCACCTTGATGGAGCTGTTGTTGAACATGTCCATGGTCAGCTCTTCCTCCTCCAGCTCCAGGCCCCCTGGCTCCAGCTCCAGGCCACTAAGGCCACCATCACAGAACTGCAGGACCACTGGCGCCCGGCTCGAGTTGTGGCGCACCTCCACCCGCAGAACGCCCTCCCGTGGCCATCGGTCTCTAACATGCTCCAAGCAGTTGATGGGCGACCGAGAGAAGACAATGTGGATGTACGCCAGCACGAAGAGTACAAACAGGGCCTGGGGGTGCGGTGAGGGCAGTCAGCAGGGCAGAGGGACACCCCTCTCCCAGCCAGGATGGCCCTGGGGGCCGGTGCCTCTTGGGACCCAGCTGACCTAGGAGCCCACTGCAAGGGTTCCTTGTACCACCACCCTCCAGCAGTTTCATGGTCCAGCAGATGCTTCAACTCAAAGCTGCCTTTGAGGACCCCAGCCTCACTGCTGCTCACTGACAGAACCCCTGATCTCACCACCTAAGAATAGCCACTGTCCCCACCAAGGCACCCTCTACCCTGTTCCCAGGACTAACAGGAACCACAAGGACACAGTTGACTTCCCCTTGTGAGGCCCAGGCACCTAAGTAGGATCAAGCTGCCCTACCTGGGGAAATACAGCTTCACCTAGAAAATGATAATGGCCACTCTTGCTGGTAACCCTGGGCCATGCTAGACTGGGGTAGGTGGAATAGGTGGAAGGCAAGACTTCTGCTCAACACCCTGCAGGGTTGAGCATGCCCTGCTAAGACCAACCCAGATCCACATGTTCAAGTATAGGTTAAGAAAAGAAAAAACGAACTGGAATCCAGTTGCAGAGGAGGAGGAATGATGAGCAAAGGGGTCCAGACCAGGCTGGAGAAACCCACAGAAACAGCTGACCTGAACAACGGTGAGCTCTTGGTCCCCAGACTGATAACTGGGAACTGATCCAGACCCCAGGAACGTGGGTGTCAGTGAAGAGACCTCAGAAATCTATGGACCCTCCTGTAGTAGATCAGTACTTATCCCTAGCATAGGAATGGACTTTGGAAGCCCGTTCCACATAGAGGGATACTCCCTGAGCCTAGACACACTGGGGTGGGTCTAGGTCCTATCCCAAAGGATATGATAGACTCTGATGACACCCTATGCCTTACTCTCCCTGGGGAGCAGAAAGGGTGTGGGATAGGTAGGGTTTTAGTTGGGGGGGCAGGGGAGGACGGGAGGGAGAGGGAACAATTTTGTTTCTAATTCAAATAAAAAAATGGAGAAAAAAAAAGGAAAAAACCAAACCATACAGGTTATCAAGATGGCTCAGTTGACATATGTCTTCCAATTAACCTCGAGAACCTGAGTTTCATCCCCAGGATGTGAACACAAAGTGGATGTGAACACAAAGTGGAAGGAGCAACCTGACACCTGCAAGCTGCTCTGATCTCTACATGAATACCATGGGATGCATGCTCCCACATCCACGTGTATTCACACACATACAACATAAAGACAGTTGTGTTGTTTGTTTGTTTTCTGAGGCAGGGAAGTCCTAGCTGACCTGGAACTCAGACATCTACCTGCCTCTGCCTCCTGAATGCTATTAAAGGTGCGTGTCACCATTACCTGGCTACAAATTTTTACTTAATATTACTAACCTCAAATACCCCTATGCTGGAGCAATCATTCAAGGGGTCCCAACCTTGGGGAACAACCTCCCCTTTCTCTACTTAGTGTGTGGGTGACTGTGGGAATTGCCTAACTCAGTGGTTCTCAACCTGTGGGTTGAAATCCCTTGGAAAGAAGGCTTGAACAAGCCCTTCGGTGTCCTCACCTAAGACTACTAGGAAACACAGATATTTTTACATTACGATTAATAACAGTAGCAAAATTAGCTATGAAGTAGCAACAAAATAATGTTATGGTTGGGGTCAGCACAATGTGAGGAAGGTTGAGAACCACTGCTCTAACTCATATAAGGTGGAGTCCAGGGATGTTAGCACCTGCAAACCCCAGGATGTCACATATGTGCCATGCCCTTGGTCTGAAGGGGACCCTGCAACTCTGTGGGCCTGTCTAGGGTAGCCTTCCTTTATGGCCCCTCCTAACACCTTAGCTTCCCACCACATCTCCACTGTCCAGACAGATTCCTGTCTGTCTGCAGATCCATGAGAACTAGGACCCTGGCCTGATAAGATGGGGGTCACTAGGGCCATGACAGTTTTGGACAGCCCTGCATTCCTAATGTGTGCACTCAAATTCCTACACTCTTCAGGGACAAGACTGGACTCCCAAACCCCACTCCCAAGAGACTCCACCACAGCAAACAGAACAGTACTTACCCCACCTGCCGTGAAGCAGCAGTTTAGGGGACATAAGTAACCTAAGGCCAGAACCAGACAAGACCTCCCTGCCCCTCACCCTGGTATGCATCTGCCCAAGACTCCCCCTCTGCAGTCTGATGACAGAGCTGGGTCAACAAAGCACCCAGCCCAACTAATAGTGACCTGGGGGATGCAGAACAGGTAGGGTGGGGGGCCCTGGGGCTGAAAACAAGGCTAAAGTCCCAGCTAGCCACACCTTAAGCTGACACCCAGCACTGTGAACTGTGAGGCTCTCCTGGGGCAAGAAATGGATTTATCAAGTTTCATGAAGTCCGACAACCCCAGGCTGAGACTGGACGAAGCAGCTCCTGTCAGTCAGGCCCTTGATCTACATATTGGGCATCTAGAATCAGAGGGAGGTAGCCACTGGACAGATGGACATATCCTGGATCCTCTCTCCTCACCACAGCTCTTTGGTCACTCCACAAGTCCCCACATGTCACTGAGCTAGTGTCTGGCACCCACTCAGGCCCTGGGGCCACTTCTCCACTCATCTACACACCTGCCACAGAAATAGGCACTGAGCTTGGCCACTCTAGCCTGGTGGGGGCTGCAGGCTACCACCTCCTGCAGATACCTCAGTGCCACCATCAAGGTTCTCAGGACACCTCATACCCTATAAGTAGGTGGGTGTTTCACTGTCACCCTAGTCTGGTGTCTGGAGCTGCTAGTCCATCTGACCAATGCCTGAAGTAGGCATACAACATCAGCCTCAGCCAGGATCTCCAGATCACGGCCCACCCAAGAGCGCCACACAGTGCCTTCTAGCAGTCAGATCTCCACTTAGAGCAGGAATGTGAGCTGGTACCATTACTCCTTGCCCTTCAACACCTGTGATGTGCCTTTTATCCCACAGTGGCCCACACAACACAGCTGCTTTCACAAGCACCTGGGGCCCAGAACTTAGGACTCTCTAGTTTCAGTCTTTGAAGCTGTAAAGTCAGCAGATGGGACACCAAGGGCAGCAAGTCTTCCCTGGACTTCTGCAGGAGCTGATACCTAGGCTAGGGGTGGGGACAGGATGAAGGGTGGAACAGGCTTGGCAGGCCTTGGCCATCGGACACGCCCCCTCTATGAAGGCTGGGAGGAAGTTGGGCAGGCAGGACAGGCAGGAAACAAGCAAAAGGGCTCCCTGAAACCCCAGCAGCCCCAGAAACAAGCTGCCGAATGGCCTGTTTGGCCCAACTAAGAAAGCATGGGGTGGTGGGGCAGGCCTTTAATCCCAGCACTCAGGAGGTAGAGGCAGGTGGATATCTCTGTGAGTACATGGCCACTCTAGTCTACAGTTCCAGGACAGCTAGGGCTGTTACACAGAGAAACCGTGTCTCAAAAAACAAACAAAAAAACATGAGGTCAATTATCATCCAGCAGATCCCTGGCTCTGATCACCCATCTGAGGGCCACCCTCTCTGAGGGTGTAGAAGGCAGGAAGGAAGAGGGTACTGGCTAATCTGCAGACCATGGACTGGAGACTGAGGGGACCCTCACATGGGTCTTGAGCTCATGTCTTAGCAGAAGCCAGTCTCACCTTCACAGGCAATGCCCCCAACATAAGCATATCCACCACCATGCCACACCACACCCAACACCAGATGGCCCGGCCTGCTCCTCTCAGACGGCCGTCATAGGCAAGACGCCCAGTGAGAAACAGCCTGGTGCCCATGCCTCCTGAGCAGCCTTTATGAGTGAGAATCCAGTGCCTCCCAGAGCTCAGCAGGAAGACAGCCAGGACAGGTGCTGGCAACTGGAACTTCTCAACAAGACTGGGGCAGGCAGGAGGCCCCTGGCCAACCATGGGCACTGGCTGTGACTCTGCTGCTGACCCTAGTGAGGTGACCTCACCCAAGAGCCACAAAGGCCCGGCAAGAGCCTGAGAAGCGTGAAGTGACAAAGAAGGACAATGACACTGGGGGGGCAGGGGACTGTGTGGGAATGACAGGTGGGGGGCGGCCTAAAAGCTTGTCCACACTGGAGCCTCAGAGTGGGAGTGACCAGAGAACTGTCCCTAGTGGAAGTTGAGGGCAGAATGGGAGTGACAGGTGGGAGGATGGACCTCGAGTCCAAGGAACTGTCCCGAGAGGTCACTGAGCTCTGGGATTGAGCGGAAAATTTCGGGGCCTAGGCTCCCAGGCTGCAGAGTCAGAGGTCAAAGGACAGTAGGCGGGGCCTAGGAGCTGGGGAAGTGGGGACCAGGGGTTGCACTGGTGGGAAGACTGACAACAGGGTATCCGGGCGTCGGAAGCCGGGTGCCGAAGCTGCGGGAGTGGGCAGGTGATGGCAGGCAGCCGGGGTCATAGATCAGGGGTCAGAGGTCACCTTGAGTAGAACGAAGAACTCAAAGAGGCGGCGGAAGGCAGGCGGGAACAGGCGCGAGTAGGTGACCGCCATCTTGAAGAAGAGCGCGTGGAAGAGCCGGTCGC